CCGCGCCGACCGCAAGAAGCTTGCAACCTGATTCAATGAGTCGCAATGTTCAGCACATGAATTATTTACATAACGTTATTTTCCCGTGAAAACACTGTGGACTTCTATGCCTTTCACTCTTCATTCACCTTGTCATTTGGTGAAGTTTGTGCCAGAAAATTGTCTTTTTCTGAAGGTAACTTCATACAGCTTTCTGGTTCATTATTATCTTAGGCAACATTAAAGTGACAGCTCGTCAACAAATGTAATAAGGTAGGCCAGAGGGAATATAAACTTAATGAAAATCAGCAGGAGCAAAACATCAGGTTAATATATTGATTATGTTACATATTTTATGATAGAAGATATGAGAAAATATTGGAAAAAATATTACTTGATGACCAATTATGATGCTCTCTCAGACTCTTGCCCTGAGAGCTACTTGCATAGTGACTGCCCTTCACATCACCCCTTAGTGGAACATGGTAAGCCCTATTTTATCCCATTTATAAAAAGGGACTGAAGGTTGGGAGCACAGGTTTTTCATGTTTCACTGAAGCTTTATCAAAAAGTTAGAACAGAACATAGATATCAACAAGCAATTGTGTTTTTCTTAATGTTTGCACTGCTTCTTTAGTCAGTCTGAATGCTAAAATCGTCTGTAAATTAACATTTTAAAGCTGATATTTAAAAAAAATAATCTTCCCTGGGGAGCATGCCCCCAGACCCTCCTAGGGGTTTGGATCCATGTCACCTTTTTCATCCCTGATGAGTTTGCACCCCTGTTATAATTATCCCATTGATAGCTAAAAGCAGAAATACTACTAGCTTTTATGTATAGCTGTCAATTGACACTACAGTATAAAGCATGTTCCCACATTTCACCGCTTGTTTTCAACAGTAATAGTCAACAAACTATGCTAGCTAAGATGTACAGGACAAAATCAGGTTGATTTTCACTGAGGTCATCTCTTTGGATCATGTATTAAATCCTTTTTATGCATGTTCAGGTTTCTGTGTGGGAAAGAGATCAAAAAGAGGAAGTGCATCTTTCGTCTTAGGACTAGAGTTCCACCTAATCCCCCCTCTAAGCTCTTTCCTGAGCGTGCCCAGAACGATGGAGGAAGAAAGAAAGGCACAGTCAGGTACAGGAAGGTCCCATCATTTACCTGCATACTGTTTGGGGATTTCTAGTCACTTTGTTGTTTTACATGGTCGATGTAGGTCTATGAAGAAGATTACTATGGATATCATATTGTCAACTCCTTTAAATAAAACTGTGTGTGTGTCTGTGTAGTGCTTCAGCTGAGAGGAAGAAGAGGAAGTCCAAGTGGCTATTAGAAGATGCTATTCCAAATGTAAGACTTGCCTCGTCTGTTATGTTTCTCTTATTTCTTTACCCTGAGCACCCCAATAGAAAAATGTCTGCCAGTTACTATATTGGTTATTTTGATTACTGTTTTCTTTGGGTTTGGCTGTTTGTTGTCTAAACTGTGTTTTTTTTAAAGAACGAGCTGTCCTGCAGCTGGACGTCTAACCATCACATGGCCAACATCTTTGACTTCACTCTGGATGAGCTGCAGAGCCTCAAGAGGTTAGATTGAGATCACTTAACCTATGATCCTTTTTGTTTTTTAACTATCAGCATGTGACTAACTTTTGGTTGTTCTTTCCAGTAGTTCCAGTAGAACAGTTAGTATTGATCAGGACTCCACTGATGCCTCAACCTCAGGCTCTGCTACCACCAGTGCCTCCTATCACTTCAGGTCAGTGGCAGTTAATTATCTCCTCCTCCATCATTATTTAGAAATGTAACCAGTTAGGTTGTGTATCTTTCTCTGACATTGATAACAGTGCTCTATTTTCTCAGGAGGAGAGTTGGCAGCAGGAAGCGGAAGTTGCCAAGCAACAGCTACAGCCATTGGGTCAATCGCAGCGAGGCAGGGGAGGAGCTTGTAGGGGAGGCGCCTTCTGGGATGCTAGAGGACCAAGAAGTTACAAACCACTCTCACCTGGCAACAGACTCCTCACACTTCCTGTCTGATGCCTCCCAGATTCCCTCTGACTCCTCCCATCTTCACTCATCAATCTCCTCATATTTCGGAGTGGCAGGCAGACTGACCAATGGGGAAAGGTATCAGGTTTTGGCTCGACGTGTCACTCCTCAGGGGACAGTCCAGTATCTGCTGGAGTGGGAAGGGACAACACCTTATTAGGATGTAAACAAGATGTCGTGTGAAGCTTTGACTCCTCTTCCTCCACTCAAACAATGTCTGTTTCAAACCAATGAGAACTCGGTTACCCTCCAAGTGAAATACTTCCTGCGTCCATGCCAACAATTCATTTGACTAATCAGCTAATTAGGTATTAAAGTTCCTGAAGATCCAATTATTATATATTTTATGTTTATAAATTAATAGTATAATAATATAAGCCACCAGAAAAGTCATTTTTTATTTATCTTCTCATAAATTTGTGTCTTAAAACATTTTTTTTTTTTTTTTAATTATTATTTTGAATCTATTCATTGTCAGTGGTATAGCAACAAATGAAAAAAAATAATGGGTTTAGATCATGGCCCCAATTTGTTCATATGAAAACATTTTAGAACTCAACCAGAAACGTAACTTTTAACCTTTGTCATTTTATGCCCCCAAAAAAACAAACTCTGTCCTATGTACAATATATGTCCCCACAAAATCATGTTCTTTGTTCGTCCATACAAAGGCCTGTTATACAAAATGATAAATAATAATAATGATGAATAATAATCATATCCTATAAATGTCCTTTCAAAACTCTGTCCAACGTATATCTCCACTAAGTCTTACTCCGTGTATATCACCAAAAAAGCCGGTCCCACGTAGTTCCCCACAATATCCTTCTTCAAATATGTCCCCACAATATCTTTGTTCCTTACTATATCCCTGTATCCCAGTACTTGTTCTGCATATGTTCTCACAACAACTTATTTTATGTCTCCACAGTGTTTACATATGTCGCCTAAATATCTTGTCCTCAGTGTGTCCTCACAATATGTTGTCCAAATATATGCCCCATAATATCATGTCCTATGCATGTCCCCACAAAAAAATACTTTGTATCTCTAAGATATTGTATATCCCAAAAAGTACCCTGTCCCACTTTTGTAGTCAGATGGTTTGGAGCTTGGAGGAATCAGGACTCAAAGCTGTTTACGAACATGTAAAATCAGTATATAGTGAGAACCAACTTAATGTTGAATACAGCCAAAGACAGAGACACAGACATTGTCAAAAACTCTCATTTATTAGTGTTATATGGATATTGTTATAGTATTGAGCTCTGTATATCATCAGACCAACAATAGTTTGAGCTTGTTTTTCTTTTGTGTCAAACCAAACACATTTCTTCTTCTTTGACATGTTAAACATTCAGAGGCTCCTGTAGTTCCTGTAGTTCTGTATCGGCATCCAGCTGTTAAACAGCATGTTGCTGTACTTGTCCTCACTGCTGTGCCTGTGGGTTATTTCATTCAGCAGTTTCTTAAATCTGTAACTAACTGAACATAGAGCACTTAATGTAAAGCAGACTAAAGCCTACAGCCGTGTGTCAGAAAACGTTTGCCCTTATCTTTAACAGTTTTAACAGGTTTCACTCCTAGCCAGTGATGTCATTACTGTGTTTCCTAACAGCCCTTACACCTGTTGTGACCTCACAGAGTGGGCGTGACCTGATGAGATCCTAAATCAGTGATGGTTAATCTGCGAAATTCCAGTGAGATCTGTTATTATCTTAAATAATAGAATATACTTTGCAGCTTTATTGTTGTTCAACAGCAGCAACACACTGCTTCAGACATCCAAAAGGATCCAGGACCAGTGCAAAGCAATGAAACATCACACTATAAAACAACCAGAAGTTACCTTAAATTATAAATTTGTTACCTTCAGCAATTTGTTATGCACATTCACAGGTCGAATAATCGTTAATTCTGCTTAAAATATTTTATTTGCGTGGAAACTTGTCAAAAATGTGTTTTAGGTCAATTAGTAGCTCAGACCTAAACGAAGGAGCTAAAAATCTTAGCAACATTAAAAGCACACTAAAGACATTGAAGCAGAAATGATAACCCTAAATATTTAACAATTGAAGCTTCATGCTAACTTTAGCTGAATTTTAGTTTAAGATCTCCATGTTTTTTTGTATAGTCAATTTAAAAGCAGAAATCCTCACATTAACAAGGATTCACATTCTGAATTAAATTTTTGTATTTCTGATATGACACAAAGTTCTCAAAAACTGCAAGTCCCACTGGAGCCGAGCAGAGGTCATGGTTTCCTTTTGTTAACTCTATAGTGTGTTTTCTGTGTGCAGCTGTTTTCTTGCACTATTGTCACACTCAGTATCTATGCAAACATCAACCTCACTGACCAACTGAAAATCAATCAGAGAGATTGATCAGTAATCAGGAGCTTTGTGCTTTTCAAATGTTTAAAAGAAATGATAAATAATAATTATTAAGAGGTTCTACATGTTCAATTCTGTTTGGTTAGCCCCTTGGTTTAAATGAGGAATCCCAACAGTGCTAATAGTGCTAACAGTCTCTGAGACGTTAAACTGCCACTCTGTCACTTTAAACCTGCAGCTCCTCATTGCTGCCATGGTAACAATGCTCCCCTCCCACTGGTCTGTGGGACGGTTGTTTTGATCTTGTGACTGTTTGTACATTTGCCTTATTTCCTGTTCAGCAGACCAATCAGCTGTCGGCTTTCTGTGGAATAAAAAAAACTGTTGTTTGACTTTCTGTTTTTTGTTTTTTTTGTTATACTTTTTTTGTGTGAGTGTATTTAAGTTTGTGTGTATGCATGTGTGTAGGTGTGTGTGTGTAGCAGTGAGAGTGCGACAGTTGATAATCTGCTAAGACTGTTAAGGCATTAACGACACGTGAGAAACAAAATGCACATTAACAGACTGTTGAGGTGTGTGTGCTGGTCTGTCATGTTATACTCGGGGTCTGTGCAGGCAGACAGGATGTCAGACAGACATGTATAGTTATCTTAGAGCATAAGGTGTACCTGACACGACTGAAGAGCTCCACGTCCTACATTTATCTACATGTGAGTTCTTCCTACAGCTGTCGGATCAACACAGTGGATAGGTCAGTAGACTGTGTTCCTTTGTATTCAATTGTTGTGTTAATTGTAACCTACTTAAAATCAGACTTTGTGTGCAGCGTAAGTTACCATGTCGATGTACTCTGGTAAGAAGTGACCTGAAAACCTGGGATTAACCCTGAACTTACCTTGTTAAACCAAAATCCTACTTCAGAGCACAGACCTCTGGTCTTTTCATCAGAGGGTCCTGCTGCCATGGACGAGCTGGTGAAACACCTGTCCAGGTGTCAGCACATTGGCTGGATGAAGGTGATTGGTGAGTTGATGCTGCTGCTCAGTGTTAGGACATTATTTTTATTATTTATTTATTTATCATTATATTATATATGATATATTATTTATTATTAGACATTAAATTAAATTATATTAATAATATTAAAAGGAAACACTTTCAGGGTGAGACACTACATTTTTAAAGTTTCAATTTATTATTACCCATGAGAATGTTAAAATATGTTGTTTTGAAGTCCAATTAAGAGCTTGAAATAGATGATAACCCTTTTGATTTACCTGTCCCTCTGACATGATGAAAGTTCAGTTTGTCATTCCACTATATTTATTAGCTGCAATATTTCCATTTTTTGTAACTGTGTTTGTCAGACTGAATTTAGCCATTGAGATTGTAGCTTACATGAGAGCATCAGGGATGCGCAGCCACAACAAAAATACATATAATCAAGATCAGCTCTTCGCGGAAGTAGAAAGAATAGGAGCAGAACTGCTTTTTGACTGGCACACTGAATAAACAAGCCAGCAGTAACTCTAGCCTTGAGTGTTACAGTATTTCCACCTCCCGATAGTGTGTGTTGTGTTTATATTGCGTGGCTGGAGTTTTGTTTTTATGCGAAACAAGTCAAAGAAATCAGAATCACAAAGCCCTCTGCTTGCTGTTTGATGGGAACTTTGAAAACAGATATAATAGAATACAATTAATACACATAAGAGAGCTCTAAAAGGCATAAATAAATTGTCTGAAATGTAACGAGTCTTCAGAATGTTACTGGTATCTGTTCAGCTTTTATTGTAAATACTCTCTAAGTTCATTAAGTACCAAACCTGTAAAACATTACTACATGTAGTAGTACTGCTCCTACTGCACTAATACTTGAATATTGTGATGATGTCACAGAGTTGAAGAGTGCCCCCATCTATTGGCTGTCATGTGGTCAGAGGGCGGAGACTGGTGTCTGGAGTAAAATGTTCTGCATTTTGTCAGACTCTCAGTTACTGATGCTCAACAATCTGGAGGTAAAACACAAAAACACATTTTCGTCTGTCCACATGCATCTGAATTATCTTCTTCAGCTTCTCCTACTGCTGCTTCTTCTTCTGCTTCTTCTTCAACTGGTTCTGACTCGACCGCAACTGCATCATCTCCTTGCATTTTGTTGCTTCCCTTCTGCTTCCTCTGGTGCTTCTCTTGCTGCTCTTTCCTTTGCTTCCTCTGTTGATCTGCACTTTATCCAACTTTTTTATTCTGCTGCTTCTTCTTTTTCTGCTTCATGATGTTCTGCTTCTTTTGCCCATGCTGTGTCTTCATCCTTTGCATACTTTCCTGAACTGTCTCCTTCTGGCTGCTTCTGCTTCTTTTGCTGCTTCTGCAACTTTTCTTGGGTTCTCTGCTTGTGCTTCTGTTTCTTTGTCTGCATCTTCCTCTCTTGTTGCTGATGTTTCTTTGCCTTCTGCTTCTTCTATTTCTGCTCCACCATTGTCTTTTGCTTCTTCTGCTTCTTTTAAGTCTTCTTTTGCTGCGGCTGCTTCTGCATCTTCCTCTGCTTTTTGTTCTTCCTCTGATTCTTTGGGTTTTTTCGTCTTCTGCTTCTTTTTTTCTGCTTCTAATTCAGTATCTTTTTTGCTTTTTCTTCTAACTTTTTTTATGAAGCTTGTTCCTTTGCTTCCCGCTCTTCTTTTTCTCCATCTATTCAGGTTCATCCTCTGCTTCTTGCTGAGAGGGCGGAGACTTGTACCGTCTGGTTGCTGAGATACACTCTCCATGTGACCTCGGGGCCTCCTCGCCCCACCCACAAAGGTAAGGAGGACGAGAGGGTTTCACGGCTGCAGAAGAAGAAGACAGACAGCTACAGACAGACAGACAACTACAGACAACTTTGGACAGACAGGAAACTGCAGACAGGTAGAGACAGACAGACAGGTGATGGATGTGGAGTTTGATGCAGAGTTTAAAGACTTGAACGGTAAGAAGAAAACAATATTTTTTTGTTTTCATGTCCATATTTATGTGTTTGCTGCTGCAACAGGATAATCTGCTCTGCTTAATCTTGATGTAATAATGATAATAATCTCATAATCTGATATCTGAGGTCAGCTGCCATGGTAACATAACTGAATGCTCCGATACTCATGAGGTTATTTAACCCAAGACAGGTTTACATCACCTGCTGAGAGTCAAGGGTAGTAGAGGAAAGGTTCACAAAATTAATACAATTTTGCAAAATGTTGGATTTGAAAAAAATAATCTACAAGACTGCTAAATAATGTTGATAAAGACATTGAAATCTTGATTTTTGTTTAAAATCCCTCCGATGTTCAAACTAAACTTAAATAGAAGACCTGAACAGACCTGTTTTTCAGAGTAAAAGAAAATAGACAACAGTTAACTTTTTTACACTTTTCCAGTTAATTAATTGATTCAAGTCAGTATATCCAGGAGATCTCTGAAGAGTCTAGAAAACATGAAAAAGAACCATCATGATTTTGATTTTCAGTTTCCTTTTTTCACTTGAAACTTAAAAACCCTGATTTTACAAAAAAAGAAAAAGAAAATTATGAAGTGTGTGAGTGTTATAAACTGAATGTGATTTTATGGGGGATGAGAGGGTACCCCCCCCCCCTCCCTTATTGCAATATGTCTAAAGCCTCTATTTAGCTAAGCTGCTACAAGCGCTCGCTGCCAACTTCTTTTTAAATTCATATATATGGAATCCACTTTATAGTAGAAATGTACATTTTATGACCTTTTCTTCAAGAATTGCACAAAGCAAACGCTCATCTGGTTAGTTCAGAAGAAGACTGTACTCCTTTAATGATGAGGAACAGTCTGTTTTTCAATATTTAAAGCTTTTTACTGTAGGCTAAACAGCTCAAGAGACCTAATTCCACTCCACTCACTATTTGATTACTTCAAAGAGGCAAGCGCATTGAAATATGCAATAAGTAGATGTCAGTATATTAACAATATTAGCATTAGAAAATGCAAGAGCAACCCAAGTTTGGGTTTGTATTTATTTTATTTATTTGTTGTTGTAATTTTAAAGTGAATAGGTACTGTATTGTCATGGTACAAGAGAAGACAGCAAAACTTTGTTTGCAATCCCGTACAGCAGCGTTATAAAATCATGTCAAATACAAAAATATATCCATAGCTGTGTACATGTAGAAATAGTTGTGCTACAGTACATTGAGTAAAAAGTGAAATATGTTTTAGACAGTACACGTCTAGTTATTGTACATGACTTGATATACAAGCAGTTACATTACTGCAGCTGAAAGGATAAATAAACAATTATAGTGCAGTTAATTAGTGATTAAATAAATAAATAGTTATTATACAAATAAGAATTGATGATTCAGCAGCAGGAATTCAATAATGCTAATAATAGTGTTGTCTTGTTTGGGAGAGAGAGGTCATGGGTTCAAAAGTTTGTCTGCAGCTTCGGGAAAGAGTGCAAATCAGGAGTCTGCCTGAGAGAAGGGTAATGAACTTCGAATGTCCAGGATGTGATGTGTCCCTTCTGACGATAACAATTTGATCACAGGGCAGTTTAGTTAATCTGTTAAAGTCATTAAACTGTTTTCTGAAATGGTAAGATATTTGTAGAAATCTGTAGAATTACATAAAAACTAATTTCACAATAAAGTGCCATTCATTAAAATGAAACTGATAAATTATTCATTTCACATGGATTATGTGTTTCTTATACTCATCAGTCATTAAAACACTCACCAACAGCTGTTGGTCACCTTGGCAACCCTGACACAACCAATTACCATGGCAACAACTATGGCTGACTGCTGCTGAAAAAACGGCAAACACTCCCATGATGCACTTTGTCTGTTCCAGATGTTCCAGAGAGAGGGTTCCGTCGACAGAGCATGCCCAGCAGCTCAGCGGTGGACACACCCACCGCCAGAGTGACAGTGAGCTCATAAAACACACACACACACACACACACACACGCACACACACGCACGCACACACACACACACACACACACACACACACACACACACACACACACACACACACACACACACACACACCCTCTCAGCTGGGATCAGCCTGCTGTTTCCATGGTAACAGGAGCTGAGCTGCTGTCAGCTGTGGATCAGCTGACTGGCTCCACCTGTAGTTAGAAAATGGAGATACAGATGATTTACCGACTGATGTGGTCTCTCCCAGTGTATGTGTGTGTGCGTATATTTGTGGGAGGGTTATTGCACATTGCATATTTTTTCACATATTGTACAGGCCAAGTAGTTATTAATTGAGTCTGCAGCTAGTGGGATTCTCCAACATAAACACATCTTTTTTTGTGATAAATCTTTCTAATGTGAGTTTATTTATGTCTTTTAATATCTCATTAAATGACTCTCTCATGGTTTTGGCAGAAGTGTGGCACAATAATAAAGACTGAGGGCCGAGTTTATCTTAAAAGGAGAAACAAACAGGATCAACCTTAAATAGTCCTTTGTGGCTCTTCTGGTCTGAAGTGGAACAGTGTATTTATGTGGACATTTCATTTACTCCACAAACAAGCAATTCATCATTAATGATCAATTTGGGGTTGTATGGTTGGCACTTTCACGTCACAGCAAGAATGTTCCTAGTTTGAGAATCAGCTTGGGCCCATTTGTGTGTTGTATGTGATTTTCATGTCCACATTGCGTTGGCATTGGTTCTTTTCGGCTTCTTCCCTGAGTCCACAAACATGCTTGTTAGGTTAATGGGTGACTCTAAATTGCCTTTAGATGTAAGTGTGCTTTTGAATGTTTGTCTCAAGCATCAGCCCTGTGATTGGCTGGTCACCTGTTCAAGGTGTACTCGCCTCTGGTCCAATGACAGCTTATCAGTTTAAGATGATGGATGGATGAACAACAGTCCCAGCCTTTAAATGTTCCTTTCCACAAGAACTGAAATTCACAGAAATTCTTCAACAAGACTGTTGAAAAAAGAAAAAAAAAAGGAATTCATTTATTTAATAATTTCAAATGATTGGCAATTCATCACCCATATCCTTGTCCTTCTCTTCTTCTTCAGGGGTTCCTCTCTCGGCGGTTAAAACAGTCTCTTCGTCGGACTCGATCTCATCCTAAATTGCCTCGTCCGACTAGCATGAGGTCTGACATTATCAACACAGCTGACACCAGGTAACTACCTCAAAGACACATTATTCATTAAAGTTCTCCAGATTTTCACAGTGTTGTATCTGATGGCCAGACTGAGTCCCATTCCCAATGCTCCCCCTTTACCCTCACCCTACCCCTTGTTTGGAGTGTTTACTGGGCAAATGGCCCTTCTAAACTGGACTGGATGGATTTATGGCTTATCTTGTCTCTGACCGCTTAAAGCCCCGATGAGGAGTTTTTTGCTGATTATGAAAGAGACTGAAAATACTGATGCCTCTGTATGACCTACAGAAGTAATAAGTGTCCATCAGTAAGAGGATTGATTGTTTTTAAATAGTAATTTCAAAAGCTTGTAACCACTGCTGGGTAGGTGTCAGATGAAGTGAGATACAACCCGCTGCGGAAACAGCCTTTGTTGTTTTTTTATAGCAAAGATTCACAGTGATACCTAAAATCGTTAAAGACAGCGCAATGAGATTCTTCATCGCAAAACACAACTTGTGTGTAAAGGACAGAGATCGGGACCAAGATCTGCAAATAGATAAAAGATACTGCTCTGTCCACAGGGGCGCCAAAATCAATGAAGCACTTTTACTTGCCACGTTTACTCTTTCACACATACATACATATATTGATAGCAGATGCTGTTATTTTACATTGCAGACTGACACTCAGAACCTCATCGTATCATTTTCACACCCTTATGGGATCAACATTGGGTTTAGTGTATTCAGCATATTGTCTGCAGGGGCCTTCATTACAGTAGTTATGATCTACTGTACTAATAACAGCCACAAAATAATTGCCCTGTCTACCCAAGGCAGCTTCCTGAAACACAGAGAAATACACTCTCATGCCAGTGTGCGGAGATACCTTGATTTATTGAAACTGAGTTCATTATAGAAAAAACAGCATTATTCTGTTTCCATACATAACATGGTTGCACTTCAGGATTTAACTGAACATCTTAAAATGTTACATGTATGGATGAAAATGACTAAAGAAATACACAGGTTTCAATTTAACATACAATGATAGAAGATCATCTCCAAAAACTGTATGGTAGCTCTACAAGGTGTCTACCCAGAAGTAACTGTTGTTAGGGCGACATCACAGGGAATCAGTCTATATCAACCATACAGTGACTGAGGGGGAGGAGGGGATTAAAGGAGAAAAAGGGAGAGGGGGGCTGGTAACAATGATCCAATAGAGGAGACAGGAGGAAAGGAGAGAGGGAAAGAGAGAAGAAAGGAAGGGGAGGAGGAAGTGAGAAGAGAAAAGGTGAAGATTGTGAGGAGAGGGAAGAAGAGAGGAGAGGAGACAGTAAAGAAGATGAGGAAAAGAGGAGAAAGGAAGTAGGGCAGCCTCACTGCAGGGGAGGGGCCACTGCTGACTGAGAGGGCGGTCGAGTCACATAGAGAGAGGGAGAGAAAGCTGTAGCTGCTGAAGCGGTGTAGCATCCATAGCAGCAAGCTAAGAGACAGACAGTAAGACATACAGACAGACAGACAGCCGGACAGACAGGCAAGTATCAGCCTTTAACCAAACAGCGTCAGAATCAGCAGGTTTTCCATCTTTCTTCCTCTCTCCTCCTGCTCCTCCTGCTCGCTGCTGAAGGAGAATATGAATCCATAACCCCCACTCCTCTCCTCTCCTCCTCCTCCTCCTCCTCCTCCTCCTCCTCCTCCTCAGCATTCACAGGATGCTCGGTGAGTATCTGCACTGATCCTCTGCACACATTAACAGCCTTTGTCCTCTGTTTGTCTGAATGGATGAATGTGCTGCAGTGAAATTGCTGTGTTTTTGTGTGTGTGTGTGCATGTGTTTAAGGGGGGGCATAGTGGCGTCTTCTAGCTGATTTGCATGACCATGCATGCTGCGTTTCTGTCTGTCTGTGGCTAGCCTGGCTTTAGTCTGCACACAGCTAGCCTGGTATGTTAGCATGTGGCTAGGCAAGACACACGCTGTTAGCCAACATGTTAAGCTAAACAAGGTTAAGCTACTGCACACAGACACACACTCACACACACAGCCACATCCCTGAAGAATAAGCTTAGTAAGCAGCTAACCTTAAGCAGCTCCTTAAGATAAAGATGAGAGATAACGAGCTAAAGAAAGAATGGCAGAGGATCATCCTTTTAATGTCAGGATTGTTCAGATGTGTGTGAGTGTCTGCAAAGGTCAGAGGTCACAGCTGATCCCCCCCTTCCAACCACCCACCCCTGTGTGCAGAGTCACTTTCTTAACCACTTTTATAATTCACAAAACACACAGATAATTGTCGACATGTAGTACGTTCAGATGTAGAATCACCTCGAATGTTGTGTTTGTTTGTTTATTCAATATGGAAAGTTTCTTTTCAAAAATTATTTGGCTCCTCCCTCACTCTGATGTCATAGACTCAGAGGTCGGCTACATTTGATGACCTTCGTAGCTTTGTTTTTTTCCTTAGCAGATCTGTGAACACATCATCTTATGGGCAACCAATCTTTTCAGATAAAAAGTAAGCGTACACCTATGTACTAAGTCGTTTCATTCTTTTAAAAATGCTGAGCGTTAGAATCTGCAGTAATTGTTTCGAGTTGAATACTCCTCAATATCAAAAAAGATTAAAGTCCTTACTGCTTGTCTTATCTGAATATTGAATTTGAATCTTTTTCTTGAGATTTTCAGTTATGATCTTTTCTTTTATCCTCCTTTACTCAGAGATTCTGATGTTACTCAGCCTTTGTACTTTTACGCTGAACCAAACATTGCTGCCATATTGGGGTCTAGTGTGTGATTTCACCAAGTTTTGTGAAGATGTGTGACATGCAAACAATTAGAGCTATCTTCATATACACAAACATAGAGTAGTTGTGTCCTACTGGCTCCCCCCTTTACCTGGATGCCATTTCACATCTGTTATGCCTCTGTTACTACCTCTGCTGCTGGCTCAGTGGCCAAACTTGACCTCCTCATAACTCTGTCTCTTTAGCTTTTACATAAATGTCTAAGCATAACACAGGCGTCTAGAATAGGCTATGGATAAAATTATTTTTTTAATGGTTTATATGCCTAAAACTCCAAACTTAGCATGGAAAACAAAGTTCATCAACACTGCCCTGCCTGGTAGAACAACCACCGCTTGTGATTTTTCTCAGGAATAGTGACTCAACACAAACACAAACTTTGTACTTAGATGATGACTAAAAATGCAAGGGCTTTATTTGTTATTGATTTGATCACCTTTGTGTTCCCAAAATAAGGAAAACACAATGACTTAACAGATGTCTATTTAACCAAAAATCCTCACATTGTAACTTTCCACTTTGTGGCCTTGAGTTGTATGGACTGACCAGCTGATTTTAACATGAAAAACATGTATTTAACAATGTACGTATCTGTGAGTGATTCACATTGCCTTGGGGTTGCACTTTGCAAACATTTAGATCTCTGCACATCATGCAGAGCATAAGGCATCTAATTTTTCCTTCTGAATACTCTGCACCCTGAAGGAGCTTTGCAACCTGTTGGCTTCAGTTATTTTATGATTATCTGAAACCTGTCTATGGTCATCTTTGTGCAGAAAAACAAAAGAACTGGTTGAATATTATCCACTGAAGTCACTTGTGTGCAAACCAGATGGCCTGGGCTGCTTTCAGATGACATGGCTTTTGATATCTTCTTTGCTACTGACTTCAATAGAAATTAAAGGAGTCAACCGGGCAGTGTTGGCGGAGGCCATCCTGACAACAGGGAATATAGTGCAGGGATGATTTTCTGAAAGGGTTTTGCTCATGGCACCCCAGTGCTGACCTGCTGTTAGCTCAACACAGACCTTTAAAAGAGGTTGCAGACTGATGCCCGCCGGTGCCTTCCCTCCCACTGTTCCCATGCACAGTTCCTCTCCTGACAACTCCTGAACCCGCTGTATCTTTAACCTCTTCAGAGTCCTGTTTGGAGCTGCTGTATTTCACCTAAGTCATTTGAGATTATTTTGTCGTCACTTAGACTCTGTTGAACAGAGTTGGGGATGCCTGTTGGGAAAAGCCTTTTTTTTTGTTGCATTGGAAAACTTCACTGGAGCAATGAAATTAATTGTGGCCAGCTTAACTTTGGCTATCATGCAAAAATAAGTGTTTGGTACTGCGTAGCTTCATGATGCCAGCTTTCTAAAACTCAGTTGTAGTCTGTCTTTGTCAAAACCAAAGAAAAGCAGTTAATTACAAACTTACAGATTGACATGCAAACACCTGGAACAGGTACTGTCCCCGTATTTAACAATTCCTAGTTGATTTTCTGGGTATCATCCAGTGTGTACATGATGAAGGCTAAAGAGCCATGTGCTCCTTCGCATGGTTAGTAAAACAAAGTACAGGCCAGATCACTACAGCTCTACCTGGATATCTCACAGAAGCTCTGCTTGAAAAGCCTGACTGAAAAACAACCACACAATATATTTAAACGTTCCATCACTGACAAGAGGCAGTAAAGAAACACTCATCGTCTTTTAGGTGTTTGTGGTAGTTTCAGAAAAACTGAAAAACTCTTCTGTCACCTAAAATTTGTAGAATCTGTTTATGGAAATTAGCAGACAACTCATAACCAGGAGCTGATCAGGAGCTTCTGTTGGTACCAATGTTGGGTCCTTTGTTGACATCAGGAACATCAGACCCGCACCAGAACACTCAGAGTTTCCTGTGACCTGCTGTTTCAGGTGTGTGATGCGGCGGCTGCATTGTGGTAGCCAGGAGTCCTTATTAAGCACCGGCTGTGTTTCATCTTTGGAGCTCAGAATGGACCAATCAGTGGTCATCAAACCAGTTCACTCCTCCCTACTGGGACAGGACTACTGCTTCGAGGTGACACAAACACACACAAACTCACACAAACACACACACACACACACACACACACACACACACACACACACACAAACCTTTCCATTTTCTGATGTTTCTGTGTTAATGACCGCTGACCTTATGCTTTTTAGGTAACAACCTCAACAGGAACAAAGTGTTTTTCATGTCGATCGGCAGCAGAAAGAGATAAATGGATGGAGAACCTGAGACGAGCTGTTCATCCCAACAAGGACAACAGCAGGAGGCTGGAGAATGTGCTGACAGTGTGGGTGATCGAGGCCAAAGACCTGCCAGCAAAGAAAAGGTAAAGGCCCCACACCAAAAATCTACTTCACTGTCCATTACTCTAACATGTAGAGGTTAAGTGTGCCACACCAAAACCTGCTTCACTGTACTTCATTTTCACATGTGGACATAGGGGCACTATACCCGCTTTGCTGTAATTGTTTTTGGTATAGAGATGTACTCAAAAACATTCACTGTACTAATATTCAAATATGTGTAGATGGGGTACTATATACCATAAAGAAAACTACTTCATCAAACATTACTCTTCCTTGAATATATGGGTAGAATAACACTTGAAAACGGTTCACTGTCAACCCCCTCGGTGCTCCCTCAAATGCCACGCCCCTCACTTACATGCACAAGTGCTGTTGGTCAAGAAGTGGACCTCATGCTTTGAGTGTGGGCAAGTGCATGCATGGAGCAGAGAACGAGCAGGGAGACAGGGAGGCATGATTGGTTCATCAGATTTTTACCTTGTGGCAGACATTGGTCGAAGGTTTTACAGGCTTACAACTGCTACAGATGACAGATTTTCTTTGTTTCTTTTTCAGAGCACATGAATTATTTATTTCTGTCAGGACCTATAGACAATTTCAAAAAAAAAAGAAAGAAAATTACCAAGCCTGCCTTTAACATGCAAAGGTGGGGGTGCTAAACTTGCTTCCCTGTTGATAATTACAACATGTAGAGGTTAAATGTGCTATACCTCAAAACTGCTTAGATTTGTGATTATATGAGGCTGCCACTGTAGCCATATCTTGATGAAAGTATGTAGTTAATGTAGTACATGTCTTGAAGTACTTTGGTGAGCGGTGTCTAGATAACTTGTAGAATATTTATTTCAGGTACTTCTGTGAGCTGTGTCTGGACGACAGTCTTTACGCTCGGACGTCGTGTAAGCTGAAAACCGACAACATCTTTTGGGGAGAACGTTTTGACTTCAGCAGCCTGCCGTCGATCAACGCCATAACTCTTCATCTTTACAAAGACACAGACAGGAAAAGGAAGAAGGACAAGAGCAGCTATGTTGGGCTGGTCAACATCCCTGTCGCAACAGTGACAGGCAGACAGCTGGTGGAGAAGTGGTACACGTTGAGCACACCGAGCACCATCAGGAGTAAGTGGCAAATTGATTTAACTAATCTTTCATAAGTCATTTTCAGGTTCCTTGTTGCAGTTACAGTAATATTGCATTAAGTTATACACCTTAAAATGCTCTTTGCTCAGTCAGAATCTTAATAATATGCAGTCTCATTTACTTTTTAACCCCATTAGTTGTGTCTTCAGGTCTTCCTGTCAGGCTCAGTTAGGTCCCATCCACACAAGCAAGATTGGAAAGCCTTTAAAGAACCTGAAAGACAAAGCTGTGGGTTTGCAAATTCTCATCTGACTAATTTAAGAATAACTTAAGACAACACAGATGAGTGTCAGTATTTTTATTTTCCTTGTCTGGATTATGTTGTGTAGTGCAGTGATGTGGATCTGCACCAGAGTCCAGAGAAACTTGCAGATTTTCTTTTAAATTTCTGTATGCACTAAAACTCCAAACAAGTACTTTTTCACTGGTTTTCCACACTAAAGGTCACTCGGTGAAGCGTCTTTATTATAACAGATTTTCATGTTGTGTTGTGTTCCAGGTAAGTCGTCTGTACCAACGGTCCGTATCAAAGCTCGGTATCAAAGTATCGTCATCTTGCCGATGGAGCAGTACAAGGAGTTTGCAGAATACATCAGCTCCAACTACCTGCTGCTCTGTAACACTCTGGAGGCCTCCATCAGCCTGAGAGCTAAAGAGGAGCTTGCTGCCGCACTTGTTCACATCCTGCACAGCACGGGAAAGGCCAAGGTAACCACACCCCCACTAGCTGGTCCCACTCAGTATTATTAGCACACCCACTGGGTCTGACCACACCTATCAAAATGATCCTGTCTGATAAACTTGACTCTAACCACTTTTAAAATTAAACCATCATATACATCACAGAAACACCAAGGCTAAGGTTACACAACCTACCTTACCACGTGATCCCACCAACCTCAAAAAACGTTTTCCAGAGTCTTTTACCCCAACCATCAAAATAACCTCACATCCTTTTTTTTTAAATGCTTTTCATTGAATACTCCTAAATGGTTGCATCTGAACCCATTGCTGGGAGTTCCCATGAGTTTGGAATTCCTGAACTCTTACTTTTAAGTCATAAATGCCCTTTAAAAGAAAGTTAACTCCTATCTGTGGGAGAAAAAATACAATACAAAAATAATGTAGTCTTGCATGACCAGACCACAAACAGCATCACTTGATTTCTCAGTGTTCATATTTGAATTTCATTTTATCAGAGGATGACATTTAACCCTTTCTGCAGGACTTCCTGACAGACCTGATGATGTCAGAGGTGGACCGTTGTCGTGACAATGACCAGCTGATCTTCAGAGAGAACACATTGGCGACAAAGAGCATCGAGGAATACCTAAAGCTCATTGGACAGAAGTATCTGCAGGATGCCCTTGGTAAAATAAATATATCACACAAAATACACAAAACATACTACTATATACTACACACAACACAATACAGAACTATAGATGGTAAAAAAGTGTGGGGGGGGGGGCTTAAGCCACCAGGCGAAAAGCTACAACACGCCCAACTGTCAGTAAACTCAGCCACAGGGAAAGAGGAAGAAGTTGGGGTAATATAAATGTATATTAATACTACTTGTGTGTGTTTTTAGGTGAGTTCATTAAAGCTCTGTACGAGTCAGATGAGAACTGTGAGGTCGACCCATCCCGCTGTGCGACCTCTGAGCTTGCAGAGCATCAGGCAAACCTCAGGATGTGTTGTGAGCTCGCCTTCTGCAAGATCCTCGACTCCTTCAGGTAGACAAAAATGCGCACAACTTACCCAAATTAAAAAAAGCATTTTATTTTCGTACTCACCTCACCTACAAATATAAACCCCTATACAGGGTCTTCCCCCGGGAGCTGAAGGAGGTGTTTGCATCATGGCGACAGGAGTGTGGCAACCGAGGGCGACCAGACATAAGCGAGCGCCTCATCAGCGCCTCCTTGTTCCTGCGCTTCCTGTGTCCAGCTGTGATGTCACCTTCACTGTTTGACCTGATGCAGGAATACCCCGACGAACGCTCGGCGAGAACTTTAACACTCATCGCCAAAGTCATCCAAACCCTCGCCAACTTCAGCAAGTAAGTTTGGGCTTTTACTGTGAAGGAGCTAGAGAGCTTTTACTGTGAAGATACTGAAGGGCCTTTACTGTGTAGGAGCTGGAGAGTGTTTTTACAAAGAAGAAGCTGGAGGGTTTTTACTAAGAAGATACTGCAGTGTTTTGTCTGTGAAATAACTATGCCACTTTTATTGTGAAGAGAGGGAGGAATTTACCTCTCAGGAGTTTGGATTGACTACATTTTGTGAAGTGCTTGGACCTTGAAGTACCTGGAACCTGTGAAGCCCTGTATTGTTTGTTCACTTGTATATCTATACCTGCACAATGTGTTACCTGTATGTGTTACCTTTTCGTGTTACGTGTGGTTGCAGGTTTGGGACTAAAGAAGAGTACATGCTATTTATGAATGACTTTGTGGAGAGGCAATGGAGCAGCATGCAGCGTTTCCTGCAGGAGATCTCAAATCCTGATGGCCTGAACCACACGGCAGGCTTCGATGGATACATTGACCTCGGCCGAGAACTTTCAAGCCTGCACACTTTGCTGACTGAGCTCGACCAGGTAACACACCTGACCGGGGAACCTGTTGTTCAAAAAGAAAACCTGCTCTGATTTAAACTATCAGGACTAAAAGGATTATGAAATAAGATAAGACTAATTAATCAAGTTCTGTTTTTTATGGAGATGAAAACTTTGAGACATATCGTCATAACTTTGGTAAAGAAAAAAATTAAGAATTTTCCTGATCCCAGCAGAGAGCTGAACTCCTGCTTATCCTGGACTGCGAAAAGTGCATTTTCAAATCCAGAGCTTTCTTGTCCAGATTAAATTTCTTGAACAACTGGAACCTGGGGATCAAAAAAAGCAGATTTATAAATGTAGGTAAAGCATTGGAGTCAGAGTTAATCAATATCTATCCAGAGTTTATTGTCTCCTTTGAAATAAACATTAAATGTCTTTATGAATAATTTAAGGATGTTATTTAACCTAATTTACAACCTGTCAGTAAAATGACTAATGACCTGCCAGTTTCCTTCTGTTTACAGTCTTTATGACTAGTTAAGGTAGCTGCTGGCAGTATCAGTATATTTCCAGAACAGATTATTAAAACGCCTAACTTCTCTAGGAAAAAAGGTTTTACCAAAACATCTGACTACTGCTCTAAACTCTATGTTACCTGTATATCAGTAAATAGGTAACGATCTCAAAGTGTCTCTCTACCAGTCTCTTTCTCCCATCTGTCCGCAGGCATGCCTGGTGAAGCTCGGTCCTCTTCCTCGGATCCTCAGAGAAGTGTCAACAGCTCTAGCTAACCCGGGTGGTGTGGTTCATCATGGGGGAATGTCAGTGTCCTCTCCAGAGCCTCAGCGTGTGATGTCTCCACCCCCTATGTCCCCACCCCCTCTGTCCCCGCCCCTCTCACCTCCTTTGGCAGCCTGTAATCCTTCCATTGGCCTGCAGGGTGGCGTAGGACTAGATGGAGGGTAAGCATCATGTGTATAGTCAGAGGTGGGACAAAAAGCACAGCAGCCACAATCTACACATCTGTCATACCACCATTCTTTCAGTTCAATTTTTCTTACCAGTCTGAAGCTCCACTGTACTTGCTTGGTCATAATATTCACCATTCACTATTCATAGGTTACAAAAGCCAATGAGAGCCTGAGTAGTAAACAGGACTTTCTTTCTCTCCATTGCCAGAATTACACATAATACAGATGTGTCATCATAGGCAGTCTCATCCCTTTTGGTGAGTCAGGAGCAAATGCATGTTCTGGGTCGACTGTGGATCCTAAAATGCACTTTTCCAAGTCTGAGTCAAATGAGGTCAGCTGACTTGAGTTGGCGAAAGTTAATTCAAGTAGCCAAACAAAAATAACATTGTAACAAAACCAATTTACCGGAAGTTAAAAGTTTCGATAATCATTTTTCAAAGTAACGTCCACGTTAAAAATGTATTTCAAAAATGAACGCCGATGATTAACAACTAATGGATTAACCGACATTTGCCCAGCTCTGTGTATTATTAGCAATAGCACAGAACATATGATATTTACACTTCAACAAAAATGAACGGTAAAGGCCAAAAAAAGGTTTGAACAGTGCAGTTCAATGGGTGGCGGGATTTTAGGGTAACAAATTCACAACAATCCAACAAGAAGACACCAATTCTCTATTTCTAATGTATGATGAGAACAAAATAACTGGCATGTGGTGGGTATTGGGTTGCTAAAGTGGTGCAAGTAATCTGCTAGCTTAGTCATTCTTAGGTTGATCAGTTTGCTCAGTGGTTGCCACCAGTTTTTAAAGTATGTATGAGGGTGTTCAAGGAGGTTGTTAAAGATAGTCTTGATAGGTGCAAGGTTGTTCCCAAGTGGTACACAGGTCTGTTGAAGGGGGTTATAAAATGAGAGATTACTCTGTGTTTTTTGGTGTGAGCATGTGATAAAAAACCATTTACCTGTAACACATTCTAAATCAATGAATGGAAAAATAGTAAAAAGATCATTTGTTTTCACCCTTTTACACACACATTTACACTCTGATAGAAAAAGATGATACTGTACCTACATTAACCAACTGCCTATCAGTACTAATCACACTCACACACAGATGACTATGTCTAAGACATATACATTTGTTAACAAACTATACCTTAATACAGGAAAGTGATTTTTTACTTCCTAAACACATTTTATAAATAATTACCAATATGATTAGGAAACTCAAGATTGAAGACTTACGATGGTATTGACTATGAGTGTCTGTTTGTGTTTGTGTTTGCAGTTTAGTAGATTTCACTAGACTTCCCTCTCCGACTCCAGAAAACAAAGATTTGTTTTTCGTCACTAAAGGATCCAGTCTGCAGCCAGCATCAGGTGACTTTCAGCCTCCACCTTAAATTTAACCCCTGACCTCAGACTTCCTCCTTTTTGTCAGATTCTGATCTTTCTCGTTCTCATGATGTCATATCCTGCAGGCCTTCAGGGCTCTCCAGCTCCGAGCTCATCCTACTCTGAACCCAATGAACACGAGGCAGGGTTTGAAATGACCAATGGGGGCCGGAGGGAGGGGCAAGATCTGACCAATGAGAGCCGCAGTCTGTCCCTGGTTGACCTGCAGGACTCCTCCCCGAGCGACGGTCTTGACGACAGCCAATGGCAGCGCAGGACTGGGCTTCTTCCGCTCTCCTTCCAGAATCCTGTGTATCACATGACCACCACGTCACCACGGCCGCAGACAGATGCAACACCCTCCGATGGCTCTGTGGGGTCGCAGGGAAACGCAGATGAAAGAAACACCATGGCAACTAAACCAGCATTTCTCACCCAGATGTCTGTGGGTCTGGGAGGTGGAGAGAGAGTGGAGAGAGGTGAGAGAGGGGAGAGGATGTCGGCAATGTCAAGCAGCAGCAGCGGAGAGGAATACTCTCGAAGAGCTCTCTCCCTCAATGAGACACTAACAGGTAGAATGAGTCAAATATGTTTCATTAAAAAATAACAACTTGTCTTTTTACTGCCTCTCAAACTGTTTGGGATTTTGGTGGATGACTGGTTATTAATCAGCTTACTTAACTGTAACAACCTACATGTCTTAAGTTTTATTTCTCTACTTATTTGAGCAATACATGAGCTTCTATTTAACTTGAGTCATAATTGTCTCAGTGATTGTTCTAATGATGTCACTTTTGCTGTGCCTCCCACTCAGGTACACCTGCTCCCCCTCGTCAGAACTCCTCAGGCCCTCAGAGACGCATCGATCAGCCTCCTCCCCCATCCTCAGCTCCACCGGGGCCTCCTCGAGGTCGGACTCCACCCAGCATGCTTAGTGGAGCCGGAGGCTCAGCATACCCACCTCGCCCCGCTTCAGGCAGCATGATGTCATCTAGTCCTGATTGGCCAAGCAGCGGCCAGTCCAGGCTCAGACAGACATCTTCGTCCTCTAAAGGAGACAGCCCCGAGAAACAACGGTCTGCTGCCAAGGTAACCACACTGTTACCATGGTATGGTGTCAGTCTTAATGGCAACAGGCTCTGTTTAACATTTAGTCAAGCACAGGTGGAGTCTGTTTTGTTGTTCATGTTGTAACTGTGTATGTGTTTGTGTGTATTTGTGCTTCTTTGCAGGCCCCCTCTCCCTGTGCTTTGGACCGTACAGCAGCCTGGCTGCTCAACATGAACTCTGCATCCTCCTACGGTGAGGCGGATGAAGATCGCCATGACGACGCTCTCATTGAGAAGGTAAGACTCCTCATACTTGGCTTGTACTACTGGAATTGTACATGTTCTGACCATATGTTTGTTTTTGTGTGTATTCAGTACCAGCAGGAGATTGCATTGCTGCAGGAGAAGTTGCGGGTTGCAGCCCTGCGGCAGGACGAGTGTGAGGCAAGACTGCTGGTCCAGGATCAGCAGAACCAACGTATGCTGCAGGAGTACCAGGTGAGTAACACACGTGATTAATCTGTAATATCACAGAGTGTGAAGCTGGAGCATCTCCTCAGTGGCTTTGCTTCTTTCATTGTAAAACTCCAATGCTTTCACTATTTTGTTTTTGAAATAATGCTGTTTCACCTTTCCCCTGAAGGGATTTTTTTGACCACTGTGTTTTTTTTCTGGTCCTTTTTGGACAAATACACTAACAGCTGAGTTAAAAGATGTGACAGATCATAGGACAGTTTAATAATCAGTCAAGTTGTTTGTGTAAAAATGTGCTTTGTTTACAGTTTTTACTGTAAAAGAAAGTAGTTAAATTAGAGTCACCTGTACAGAAGCTCACCTGATGTACTGGATGAGTGACAGTCACATGAGACTTTATTGAATCCTTCAATATAAACGGTTTGTGTGTGTGTGTTTTTTTTTATAGGCTCGGCTTGAGGACACAGAGAGCAGACTGAGGAGGCTGCAGGACGATAAAGACCTCCAGATGAACAGCATCATCAGCAGGTTTGAACACCTGTCTATCTATCTGTGCACCTGTCTGTACGTTAGAGAGGGGGTGTTGATTGTATTTTATGAAAATAAATATTGATATCAATCTACACTACCCTCCAAAAATTGTAAAATAAATTATACTGGTACTGTTTTGGCCATTTTTTTTCATTTGGTGTAAAAGTTCTAGCTGTTTCTGCAATGACATTAAAACCTGCTTAGCCACCTTACATGTAAACATGAGATTTAAGCATGCTGATATAGAAGTTTTTGAGTAAGGAGACTGATAAATGTAGTTGTCGTATCCTATAAAGGCACTGCAGCGATTCACATTAATACAGGTTTTTAAGTTTTCCATGAGGATGCTAGTACTTAACCCTTTACACAGAACTACCTGTAACATATATTGCATAATGCTGCACTTAGTATGGTGGGGCCCATATTTTTTTATTTTTTTGCCCTGTAACCATAGACCCAGAATGTAAAACAAATGTACTAATCACTCACCTGTTTTAAGAAAACCTGTCTCATATCTTACCTGTGCAGGTTGATGGCCGTAGAGGAGGAGCTGAAGAAGGATCACTCCGACATGCAGGCTGTGGTCGACTCCAAGCAAAAGATTATCGAAGCACAGGTACCTTTCCGTCGACCTGTCTGCTTTTTTCCCTTTCTGTCTGAGACTTTAAGCACTTTGTGAAGTCTGCTTTACTTTGAAACTTACAAACTTCCTATCTGTCCCTTAGGAGAAGAGGATTGGGAGTCTAGATGCAGCCAACAGCCGTCTAATGGCGGCTTTGACTCAACTGAAGGAGCGGTACGCCGTGACATCGCAGAGGAACGGCCTGTCTCCTAGCAACACGTCATCTCTGCAGATAACAGAGAATGGAGAGTTCCGTAACTCCGGCAACTGCTGAGTCACAAGGACCTGGGCTCTGCTTGGCTTTGACTGCAGGGAGAGGGAGGGGCTTATCTGCATGATGTGTGAGAGACAGCAGGAGGCGGGCCTATCTCGTTAACCACACCCTTTTTTTAAACCAACTAATTAACACTGTAGTTGTAACCACAGACCTGTCAATTCAAATGTCACCTCCTACAGAGATGGATCTCTGACCTGACTCTGCCCCCGTTGCTATGGTTCCCCTTAGTTCCTTTTCCTTCCGTTTTGCATGTTTCTTTTTTAAGCAGCTTACAAATTCTGACATCATATCTAGTTTTCTTTTGGAACTCCCTGATGAGGGTCAGATACTTCCAACAACCAAACTGCACGTCTTTAGAAAAAACTCAGTACAATTTTACCTGTATCTGGCAGTGGCCTGACCAGCTCAACTTCAGCCATATATGATTCTGGTCCAGCTGGACAAACTTAAGTCTCTGTTTCTCTATATGGCTCTAATTAAATCAAAATGACTCAATTGACCCAGTACTGTTTGACCAAGACTGACGCGAAATGGTTCTCGTTTTGACTGGGTTACGTCTTACTTAATATTGCCCTGGTCTGAATGGGTTATCTCCAGCTACATATAGCTCTGGTCTTACATGGTCATCTCTAGCAGTATATGGTTCTTGTCTGACTAGTTAAACTCTTGCTGTACATGGCTCTTGTAAGACTGGGTAGACTCTGACTTAGGGTTGTCACAATGCCAGAATTAATATGATACTTGTAAAACTTAACCGATATCACAGCAAAAAAAGTTCACGGTACCCACTATGGGCTCATTTCTTTTATTTCTATCAATAAAAATTGCAAGCAAACTCCTTCACACTATCTAAATTGCATGAAAACATAAACCTTGCCCGATTTTTGTGCAGTTTAGACATTGCTCTGTCACATCCTTTTGCGGCAGCCTTTGGTTATAAATATGACTGAAAATCTGGAGTTTTTCTAAAGCTTCAGACTTTTCGATATTTTCTATCAGTAAATATCGATTGATTAATTATATCATTTTGAAACACAGGTATCACAGTATCAAACATTTTGACAACCGTTTGCTGACTGTATAGGGCTCTAGTCTGACTACATTAACTCTGGTTGTAATTGGTTCAGGTCTGATTGGGTAAAAGCTGACTTAACAAATGGTCTGACTGGGTTTACTCTTGCTGTAACAGACAACATGCAGTATCAACCATTTGTCTTTTGGAGTTCAGAGTTTCCTGAATATATTCAGGCTATACGTGTTTAGATTGAGGCTTAAAGGAACAGTTCAACACTGAAGTCTCAGTCAGACAGCTTCATTTATGGTTTTTAGACCACTGAGAGGATTAGACTAGCTAAACACAAAGACTGGAAAAAGGGGTAAACTCTTTGTGTGGCTCCATCAAGGGTGAACCTAACTTTATTTGGTTGTGATGAGTGTTTGGCCACTCTGGGCTTCCGTAGAGTTGAATATTTAGTTGATCTGGTTCAGAGGTTTATGTGAGAGAGTTAGACGTTAGTTTGTGTTGTTTCAGAGAATTCTACTGATTTTAATGTAAACATCAGATTTTATTGTAAAACAGTAAAAACCTAAAATTGTGATGAATAGTTTGTGAACACACACACACACACACACACACACTTTCCTGTACAGGTTAGACTACTGGAATCTTGTGAACTATCCCGGACTCGACTGTCTCTCTGCTATGTTCACTGTGGCTTCTGTCTCTGTTCTTCTGTATTTATGAAACTCTCTGTTAGAGTTCCTGTTATTGTTATTTATCAACATCAGTATTTATAAAAGAGATGCTCCAATAAACTATTACACTATGAAACTGTTCCTACGGTGATGAGTCACACAACTGCAACTAGCAGTACACACACAGCCAAAACTGCATCAGCTAACCAATGGAGAGTCTCATTTCACATCCACTGAGGGTAAGACAGACAGAGAGACAGTCATGTTTTGGGGCAAACTGACAAGCTTTGTTTATTATTAATAAGAGCACAGCAGTCAAACTCAGAGAAGTGATGTCACTCTATCACAGGCCCTTGGTGAATCGCTCCAGCAGGTCGTCTGTCCAGTATTCATGGTTCCAGCCAAGGAACCAGCCGGTGAAAGTGGGCGGTTCAAAACCCTGTTTCACCATCACTGTGGGAGTACGAGGGTCTCTGTCGGCGGGGTCACTCTCAATGTACTTGACAGCTGCAAACAAACATAAACAAAGCATCTGTGTTATCTGCTAGCATCTTGAATCTAGTCGGTCTTGTATTATTTCCTGATTCAATGTAAAATGTAACAATTGATCCTGTCAGATCTCTCTGAACTTATTTTTAGACTAACATGTTTTGTCCTAAGAATACCCGGTGCATTTCATGCATTTTCATGTTTTTCCCTCTACAGTTTCTTACTGGATGTATAATCCGAGAGCTTGTGGGATAAAAAATGTCATTGCTTCAAGGTAAACTTTCTGCATATGTTATTCTCTTGGCTAATCCATTTCAGTCCCCATACTTGAAAGCTCTGTAAATATCAAACTTGTGAACTATAAGAAAACCTTGACAGACATGTATCTGATAATGCAGAACAATGGGGGAAAATATATACTATAAGTTGCAGTACCATGAGTAAGCACCAAAACAAACTGACAAGATTGAGTGGACCTATCCCATTGCACCCATGATGTTTTTCTCAACCTCTGAGTTTGTTAGACCAACATCAACATCATATTTCAAACTGACTCCCTGTATGTTTCACCTGAGGCTGCTGCCTCCGTCCTCTCCTCCTGCCTGGCATCATCTCCGATCCAAACAAACACCTGCAGGAGGACACTGGATGTTAGGACACACCGATGACAGGAAAGGGAGATTTTACCTCAGCAGTGGCTGGAGACTCACCTGGTCCCAGGTATCCAATATCATGACATCATCAGTAGCGAGGTCATCCTGTGTCAGCTCACCTGGAACCTCCTCCATCTGAACACACAGACACATATATATTTACTTCCTTCCTTCCTCCTTCCAATGAACTTCTAGCAAACACCTTCAATACCAAAACACAAAGTAAACCCAGAGCAACCACTCATAGATGTGTATACCCAACTCAGCCTAAATCTCTTAGCAACTTTTGATTTTCATTAGGCACAGGCTAAGTTGTCTCATGATGCTAGCTAGTTCCATAATCATATTCACGTTACTTATGGTTCATCATAATGCATCTGGTATGAAATGGGTATAAGCCAACACTTAACATTTGTACTAAACATGCCCACTTTATTATTAACTGATGGCAGATTAAGAATTGTCCTTATCAACTGAAGCCTTCTTGATTGTTTAAGAAATAAACCCTAACCCTGTTCCCTAAACCACCTCTATTTGGGATTTGGCTCTACCAAAAACCAAGTGACGCTATGCAAACTCTGGAAACATCCTACCAACTACAGTGAATCTGCATCATACTCTTTAATGCTGGCCAATACGTTCTTGACCACTCATCTTTTAATACTTTAAATAGCATTGACATAAATGCAGAAACTGTCATTAGAGTGTTGGACGCAGATACACTGACCAGGAAATTTCCAGTCTTGTTGGAGCACGCAAACAGGCGAGGAGGATGAGCTTCAAAGTTATTCTTGCATGACAACAGTCTTGTTGTACGACAATAGTCTTCCTTCCCCCCCAACGCATCCCAGAATGCATCTGTTAACATAAACACAAAAATACAGACATCAGATCAGGTTCTTTGGAATTCAACACATTTTTTCGGTCACCATAGACCAAACAGACCAAACAAAACTGGAGACCAACCCTTTACCTTCCTCATCCCCCTCCTTCAACTGGTTGGGGGTAACTTGCAGAATTCCAGCCAGTTTCTCAGCCCCCTGTGCCTCAACACAGCTGCTGCTCCTCCCTGTCCACATCCAACATCCAGAGGAGGAGACCAGGAGGAAACATCACTGGAGTTAAGACAAGAAGCAGCCGGTTCCACCTGAGGAGAAAAGAGGAACGAATGAGCCAGGGAACAGATTAAATTAATGTAGTAATCAGCCCATATCAGTCTGATAACAACATGATGTACCAGACGTGGTGTATAGGAACTACAATAGGCAAAGAGATCACATTTACTCATACGACTTAAATATCCTGCAGTCTGGTCCTGACACAACTCAGTCTCTGTATGACTCTGGTCTTCAGTCTCACCTCCACAGCTCTGGTGTGGCCTGCAGGATTGGAGCGAACCTGGAAAAGGCGTGTATCTGCCTCCACTGATTGGCCGCCCTCTCTGGAAGTCCCACCTTTGTACACCACCATTGGTTGGCCCCCAAACAGGCTCATGAGGTGGTCAGGCTCTTTTCCCTGACCCACATTCACCTGCAGACAGACAGACTGGTGAGTGCAAAGCATCCCTTCTGAAAGGAAATCAATCCAGTGTCTAGGTGTTTTAAGAAGACTGGGTTCATGTTCCTAGCTAGCTGTACCTGAACAGCACTTCCTCCTAGTTCATCATCCAGCTGGACAGCCAAGATGGCTGATGCTCCAATCTCATCCTGGCTAGACTCTGCCCCCTGCCTGAGAGAGAGAGAGAAAGAGAAACCCATAGATTTTGCCTTGAAAGTAAGTTCTTCTCTGTCAGTAATAGTTGGGGGAGATGCACCTGTACAGACATACCTTGGAAAAATAAAAATAGACCCAGGTTATTCCCATGCATACAAGTTTATTATTTATGAATGACTTGTTCAAAAACAACTGACAACGTTCTTTGTAACTACATATAAAATACATTTTTGACCCCAATGCTCTTTGGAACATGTTGCATTGAACATTTAGCATAGGGAGTCGATATGGCCATGTCTGTGGGACACCTCACTTTATGTAGATAAGAATACCTTGTCTATGGGAAATCTCACCATATGTAGATGATGTGACCCTTTCTGTGGTTGTGATGGTACTCATACAGGATGATGTAACTGTCTCCTCCATAGAACTGTCCAAGGACTGATGAATCAACAGGAACTTTGTCAGATCCTTCAATACGCCAGATCTACAGAGACAGGCAGAAAGAGATACCAACATAGAGTACATTTCAAATGAAATTTTAGTGAAAATACATCTTCCCACTTAAATGGACTGTAGTAGTTCAGTGCTATTTGTTCAGATGGGGTTGTGATAGGTTAGACAAACAGAGACCAGTCATTACCTTTTTCTCCCCATCTCCTTGGTCAACCATCCCATACTGTGCTGACATTGCATCTGAATCGTGGAGCTTTGACACATCAAATTGAACCTGTACAGTTAGAAGAGTTAGTTTAAGGAGGCAGAGCAGTTCTCTGAACAGGTCCTTAACTTAATTTTGAACCTGGTTTACCTTCTCTATATTTGCAATCTGATTAGCTACATAGGCCGTTCCCATGCCGACAGTGTCATCAGAGTCCCTCCAGTCTTTAAAGAACTGTTTGAAGAGCGGAGTCTCTCCATGCTCAGGAAGGACCTGAACCTGAGGGGGTGATCATGTTAGGAAGTTAAGATGCTTTGATCTGTCATCTTTAGTCACATATTTTTTCAGGTTTGCACTTCAGTGGATAATTAACTTTGTATCAGTATTGACCAATATGTGTATATGTTTACCTGCGTGTGTGCCGGGTAGTTCATCTTGTGAATGAACTGCTCTGAGCTCTTCAGAACAGCATGACGCTCCTCATTGTTTGCATCCTTTCCTACACACACAGAGATGTACACCACAAACCAAATTAGCAGATAGAGACAGCCTGATCAATATCTTGAATGCAGGTGATCAGCTACTTGTGTGTTTTTTCTCATTAACCAATCAGATTAAAGACTACTTCTCAGAGCTATTTCTAAGAACAGTTTGTTTTTTAATCAGTCTGAGCTGGCCCCAGACCAATCTGTTTGGAATAAGACCAGTGCAACTAGTTAAAGATCAGTCAAATGTGGCTTCAGACAAGTCTATTTGGATCCAAAACAGCCTAAATTGTTTAAGAATTAGACTAAACTGGTTTCAGACCACTGTTATCATAAACAGAAAAATGTGAACCTTTCCAGACAAAGATTTGTCCATTTGCTCCATTGTCCAGGATGTAACACTCGCAGGACTGCAGTGTAGACTGAGGAAATGGATTTTCCTCTGCTGTCAAGGTAACCTCAATGTCTCCATCTGCATTGGACACCTGGCAACAGGTAGACAGACAGGCACGGACAGATAGACAGACAGACAGGCACAGACAGACAGACAGACAGACAGACAAACTAATAGTTAAACACTGGGAAACTCTGGGAGTGAAAGTCTTTCCCAAGATACTTTGAACTGGCATCATTACTCCCTTTAATTGGCATGCAACAGACGAGAATCAGTAGTGTTGCCAACCGTCCCATATTAGCCAGTATATCCTGTAGCTCCAGCTAAATTGATGTGTCCCTAACGGGATGCTCCTTGTCCTGTATTCAAATCACTTCTATTTAATCACTAGACCACACTGTTCTGATCGTGGATCAGATTATCAGACACAGCCAATAGCCCGTCATGCACATCATGTCCACCATGTGTCACCTGTCATCCAATCACAGCCCCTCGCCCATGCATCAGATATATAGCATCAAAAGCACTGAAATTCATTTTAGTTTATGGATGGTGTTGTTCATTTGCTTTGTGGCAAACAGGCGTGAAAAAATATTGATAAAACAATGGGAGGAAAGAAGATGTGCAATAAGATGTGCGGGAATTTTCAATAGGAGACGGAGGTCAGCCTAACACAGCATGTTGCTACAGAGACGCACAAGAAGGCCACACAAGCAAAAGGTGCAATGTATATCGATGCATATTTTGTGACAAAAAAAACACATTTAAGCTGTCAAGGCCGTAAGACATATCCATAAAAAATAGAACTTAGATAGTCATGCCTCTCTTTTTGATTAAACCAGTTCTTTTGGACTGTCAGAGGTCAATAAGGGGTCCGAAGTTAAGAATGAATAAAACTTTCAGTTTTAGTAATACTACATATCAAATGAACATTTCTTGCGTATGGACTACATCCACACACCATACCCACACTGCTGTGGCACTGAGTTGCAAATACAATATATTGTCCTTTTTTTTGGCAATGAAAAAAGTGACCAACCGTATAAAACTGTGACAGTTACAGTGTGCAGACTAAATGAAAATATCCAAGTTACCTTGTAAAGTTTTGCCAGTTTCCTGTTAGCAGAATCCATTTTGGTATCATCACTGTGAGCTTCAGGAAGCTCCGGTTTCTCCCCAAGGATCTGAACAAAGAGGTCGGATTTCAACAGGTTGAAAGGCAGAACACACTGCCTGTAATGCTATCCGTTAACCCACTGTCAGTCACCTGATGACCATTTAGCCTTTTTTTTTTATCCGTATAAACAAAAATCTGAAGCTAGAAATCTGCAGTGCAACTACAAATCTGCTCTTCAACAGTCTTAGTACTTCTCAAGTTGCTAGTCAAACTATTAACAATGGCAAAGCACAGAAGTGAGTCCTCGCCCAAAAAACAGTTAACTACAATATTTGGCACATAATTAATATTATGTATAATATTAGTTGTGGTATTGCTATAGTATTCCCTCATGTGAAATGCTTAGCTGGTGTCATCACCTCCAACATCCTTTCTGGCTCCGAACCATCGTCACAAACAATCAGTTTTGCTCTGCCACACCGCTCATCGTCACGGATACCTTTAGACACCTGTCATTCAAACAATTAATTAATTAATCAATTAATAAATCAATTATGTAATGATACAAGTTGATGTCACAGAATACTAATGGTGTGATCAAGTACTGTCAGCACTCACCATTGTGGCCTTCAGTTTTTCAAAGCGGTTGCTATGGGAACCCGACCACTGGATGATTTCCTGTAGGGAGAGAAACAGGTAACAGTACAGCTCTCTCTTCCTGTCTTTCTCTATATTTGCATATATTCTGTCTATATTCTGCCTGCACCACCTCATCTGACTTTTCTCTCTGTTTCACACTGCAGTTCTACCTCTCTCCCTGTCTTTCTTTTAGTATGTCCCCCTGTCTGCCTGTCTTACCATTATGTCTCAAAACTGTCCAACATGACCAGATGTCTCTTTTTGTTTCTCACTCACAGCATGTCTCACATGTCTGCCTGTCTCTTTCTCCCTGTCTCATCTATTTACCTGTTTCACCTTCCTGTCTGCAGCACTCACTCACCTCTGACTGACTGTCTCACCATACTGCCCATCCTGCTTGTTTCATCTTTTCACCCATTTTTTCTGCCAGTCTTACCTTTCTGTCTGTCTCTCTCAGCAAGTCTTACCTCCCATTCTCTCTCTCTATTCTGATCTCTTCTATCCATCTCCTATTTCACTGCCTAACCGCTTAAGCCATTCTTTCTGTCGGCTTGCCCCTCCTGATTGTCTTACCTGACCTCTTTAGGTACTATACTCTCCAGCACCATGAATGCAGAAAGAATTCCTCTGGTTTGTGGTTCTCAGGGAAGTCTCTATTGAATAGTTCCTCTTCAAAAATAATTGTTTAGTCCTCAAACACCTACAATGTTCATGGCAGAGTATTGTCTGCCAACTTCCTCTCCTCTAGCTCTCAATCCTGCCCTACATGCCTTTTTGTCTGCGAGTCATACCTCCTCATCTGTTTATCTCTTTTCTGGTCTCACCTTTCCACCTCCTCACTCTTTTACCTGTCTCGTCTCTCTGTCTATCTATTTTGGCCTGTTTCACCCAGTCCACCTGTCCCATCTCTTTCTGCTTCACCCCTTCCCCTGCCTCACCTCTCCCAGGTCCAGTATAAAACTGTCTCCCTTGTTGAAACTGTCCCAGGTCACAGGAACCTCTGTTGCTCTGACGACGCGTCGACCTTTTACTTGCAGCAGCCTCTGAACTTCCACGTCATTGGTCACCACATGGTTGAACCCTGATGCCACGCCCCTTTCTGTGAGAGAGAAGGTGTTGTCCTCAAGGGAAGAATTCACTGAACTTGAATCAAGTGGTGACTCTTCGTACAGAGAGGGTCTTTCAGTTAACTATGAATAATTTGTGTCTTTTTTTCTTTTGGATCAGTAGCAATGTCAGTACTGCTAATCCTGTTTATAATATCTCATTATGAATTTATGTTTCCAAAAATTTTCAGAAAGTAAAGTTATAGTTCTTATTAAAATAGATATTAACATGATGACACATAAAAGACAAAAACACACAAGAGCACTAATTCAAATACAAGTAAAGAATTATGTGATGCACAAGCAATGAGCTCCTGTTGTTACCATGTACTTGAGTCCTTTCTTGAAGTACCCGGTGAAGGTACTGGACTCATGGCCCTGAACTTCGCGATACTGGATTGGCAACCCATGTAGATAGTCATCCATCTGCACTGTAAAGATGACTGCTGCGCCACTCTCATCCTGTGAGCACTCTGAGCCTGAGAGACCAAACAGAGAACATAACCACGGTTACATCACCATCAGCAAAAGAGGCTCCTACTAACATCTAAAACTACTAAGACTTTAAGTAATAATTTGTTGTCAAGTCAAAGCAACCAATTCAAAGAGTGTATCTGACTGTTGGTGTCCCTCAGGGTTCAACTCTAAGGCCACTTCTGGTTGGGAGGATCAAGACTACATTCATAATGAAATAATACACTAAAAAAAAGAGTGAGCAAAGAATTATTTTCATTAGTCATTATTAATCATGTATTCTTGTATATTTAATACATTATACATTGCAGTAACAGTACATGTATTGTTGTGCCTGGACAGAAGTGCAGGTTTTACTGCAGGTATATTTGTAGTGCTGTATGATGTTTTACAGAAGGTGTCCATGAATTTTGTAGTAATACTGTATAATGCATTGAAGAAATTGTTCATTAAGTTTTGCAGTAACATTGCAAGTACTGCAATACCTTGCCAATAGTGCAGATCGTACTGCATGGCTCCGTTGCGGTTCTTAATAGTATGAAGAACAAGGTAAGCATCTCCGGTGAAAAACCCTCCATGGAGATTCTCAGTAACAGGAACAAGCTCCATTTTCTCCACCCGCCACACCTGAAGTCCCGCCTTCTGACCTGCATGCTCAAACTCTGGGTGGTACACCATGATGTCACTGGAAGGGGGGCAGAGACACAGAACACCTTAATAAATAAAATGAAGGCTTTTGTTGTAGACCCTGATGTTTATATTGTGTTATGGTGTGTGATAATACACAAATATTTCACAAAAATTAATGGAGTTTTAATTTCAATAACAATTTTGGCTTCCCACAATCATGATGCCATGGTGTGCTTGTCCATAGGTTTTGTCATGTGTGGAAAAGGTTTCAAAATGTTTGTTGTTATATTTTAGCCACAAGAGTACATCACCACTACCTCAAAAACACATTAAATTATATTTTTTTAAATGTATGTATTTATCATTATTATTGTCATTATCATTGTTCTTATTATTGTCATTGTAAAGATGCGTTAAAAGTGAAACAGGCTTTGAGAGACAGTTTGATAGAGTGAGACAATTATGCTGACAGGGACACAGACAGGCTGACAGAGACATATAGTACAGGCTGACATGAGGATGGACAGGCTGAAAGAGAGACAGACAGGCCTGAAAGAACAACAGTACATCACCACTACCTAAAAGATGCTTTTTTTAAATGTATTGATTTACCAGTCAGAGTCCGGGAGGCAGACACACTCTGTACTTTTAACAATAGACTAATAATAGATAATAATTATAATAATATTACTATTATTCACAAGCTCAGTGAATTGGAACGATACAGAGATGAATATGCCGGTCTGTGGAGGTAGCCAGGCTGGTATGTTCTTCTCTGTATCGTTCCAATTTAACAGTGACCAGCAAAATTTCTTGGATAAAATGCAAATGTTTGTGGGTGGAGCTATCCATGGAAGTTGGCAGACAATACTCATGAACATTGTAGGTGTTTGAGGACTTCTAATTCTAAGGACTTTTTGAAGAGGAACTATTCAATAGGGAGTTCCCTGAGAACCACAAACCAGAGGACTTCTTTCTTTCAGCATTCATGGTGCTGGAGAGTACAGTACCTAAAGTAGGAGCTTAAAAGGTTCCTCTAAAAAGGGTTCTAGGAACTAAAATAGGTCATAGTTCCTGCAGCGCAGAATCAATTTTAAAGGTGTGGTTTCGACCAGTTCCTTTCTATGGAAAAGTTCCAGCAGTCCAAACACGCCTCATGATGTCATATGCAGAGGAAAGAGCTAAACATTTATGTTGGCAGAAACATATCAGTGTTATGTTACTTCAGATTACAATCAAGTTTAGTTTCTTCTCTAAATTGGTTCCATAATATGCAGCTTGAGAAAGAAAATGTCTTTTCTTACTCTGATATATTGGAAGTAGACTATTTTATTTTTTTGTGACAGAATAAATATCTTCTCTTGTGCACAGGGTAATGTCTATCAGTTATAGGACCACAGGGATAAATGGACTGACTAATCTTATTACAAGTACAAAACACATTTGCTGCATCTGAGATAAATAGGAAGTGACTCCCAGTTGCACAGATAGGCAAATAGTTTCAGGCATTTTTTGTGGATTGGAGAATATATAATGATTGATTTACATGACAAATTCACCATTTAACAAGTAAAAACCACAAAACGAGTTACCATCTTTTAAGTTAAAGTAAAACAAACTAAAGAAACTTGTCTGCGCATTATAGCGATGAATTACAGGATAAGGAAATGAGGAAATAACGTTGTAGGTGTTGTTGTTGACGGTTTACAGGTAGCATTGTTACTGTTTTGATAAGCTGGAGGAGTCAGAGAAATAATGAAGAGGTAAAGCAAAACTCACCGTCAGTGATTGTTTGTTGGAAGCTGCTGGATGGAAAGTGTAGCAGCCGAAAGCTGAGTTCCACCTGAGACGCTGACAATGTAGGGAGGGGCTGTGGGGGAGGTGCTACAGGTAACTTTAACCTGTCAAAAAAGGTCCTCCTCCTCTACCACCAATTTACCAGCTGCCACACCCAGCTAGTAGGAATAGGCTACATAGAAAGCCCGAACCACATTTGAAACTCAAGACCAGAGGCCCTGCTCCGGAGCAGCTCATGTTCAGGGGTTAAACCTTGTAGCCAGGTTTGACAAGGTTTTAATTTGGGGTGCCAGTCAGAGTCAAATCTGACAAATAAAAATTAAATGCAAACACAAAATATGACATAAACAAGAGCCACAAAACAATCAAACAAAACAGCAATGCGATTTCAAATATATATATTATCAAATCCCACTTTGAAGAAGCTGGAACCAAGGCTAAATAGCATATTGTGAACCAAATTTGCTGCTTAAAAATCCTGTGATGAGTTTTTAGTTGGTAGCCTATAACCTATACTGCGTTCATGAGATAGACTTAAATTGATACGATGTCTCTTTATGACCTTCAAAAGCAAAACGATAAGAGAAAAGTTGAAATAAGCTGCAGGTGAATGGGTGTTATTGAGTAAAGGAGAAGTTTGTTAGCAGAGTCAGTTTGCACAACGATCCTGGCGTGCGTACCCAAAACTAGACCGAAATATATACAGAGGAATAAACACACTGAACAAACTTTGACACACGCTTCACTTGACATACATGCGCACTTCAACTATGAATATGAGCAGCACAGACAAGAAAGCTCAAAAATACACATTAAACAGAATAGATAAAAAAAATAAAAAAAAAATAAAAAAAAATAAAATAAAATAAATAAAATAAATAAAATAAATAAAATAAATAAAATAAATAAAATAAATAAATAAATAAATAAAATAAAATAAAATAAATAAAATAAAAACAGGGGGTACATACAGTACAAAATTAATGATGAAGTTAACTGGGGGGAATTGAGAATTGAGACAGTATTTGCAGAGAATTGAGAGCATACATATTTCCCTTTATGTCAACAAAGTAGGCTATTTGTTTGTGTTATTTCCAAGTTTAAACGCACGTCTCATTGAGGACAGTGGCGTTATTGGTCAACCAGAGGAATCCGTCACAGCCTGCAGAGAAACCCCAAATGTCATTAACGAAGCTCTTAATTTGAAATACCCAACCGGATGTTCTGTAATCCAATGACAGACGTGTTATTTTGAAACTACTCCGGATGTTCATGTTTTGTAGTTAAAGTCTGACACAGAGCCTGTCAGCTGTTAATTCGGTTGTAAACATGTTGCTACATATTCACCGGTGAATAACGTGGTTTACCGGGTGAACGGACGGTGTCGGTGGTGTTAGTGGGAGAATGGAGACTTTTAATAAACTAACCAGTATGCTGTTACACGCGCTGGAAACGGTAAGTCAGCAGCAAGTTCACGTTAGCAACATTTAGCTTCAGTTAGCTCAAAAAACAAAGTTCAACAAAGTTAGACAGTGAAGGCAGAGGACAGACAGGCTGAGAGAGAGACAGACAGGCTGACAGAGAGACAGACAGGCTGATAGAGAGAGACAGACAGGCTGATAGAGAGACAGACAGGCTGACAGAGAGACAGACGGGCTGACAGAGAGACAGACAGGCTGACAGAGACAGACAGGCTGACAGAGAGACAGGCAGGCTGATAGAGAGAGACAGACAGGCTGACAGAGAGACAGACAGGCTGACAGAGAGACAGGCAGGCTGACAGAGAGAGACAGACAGGCTGATAGAGAGACAGACAGGCTGACAGAGACAGGCAGGCTGATAGAGAGAGACAGACAGGCTGACAGAGAGACAGACAGGCTGACAGAGAGACAGGCAGGCTGATAGAGAGACAGACAGGCTGACAGAGAGACAGACAGGCTGACAGAGAGACAGGCAGGCTGATAGAGAGAGACAGACAGGCTGACAGAGAGACAGACAGGCTGACAGAGAGACAGGCAGGCTGACAGAGAGAGACAGACAGGCTGATAGAGAGACAGACAGGCTGACAGAGAGACAGGCAGGCTGATAGAGAGAGACAGACAGGCTGACAGAGAGACAGACAGGCTGACAGAGAGACACAGACAGGCTGACAGAGAGACAGACAGGCTGACAGAGAGACAGACAGGCTGACAGAGAGAGACAGACAGGCTGATAGAGAGACAGACAGGCTGACAGAGAGACAGGCAGGCTGATAGAGAGACAGGCAGGCTGACAGAGAGAGACAGACAGGCTGATAGAGAGACAGACAGGCTGACAGAGAGACAGGCAGGCTGATAGAGAGACAGACAGGCTGACAGAGAGAGACAGACAGGCTGATAGAGAGACAGACAGGCTGACAGAGAGACAGGCAGGCTGATAGAGAGAGACAGACAGGCTGACAGAGAGACAGACAGGCTGACAGAGAGACAGGCAGGCTGACAGAGAGACAGACAGGCTGACAGAGAGACAGGCAGGCTGACAGAGAGACAGGCAGGCTGACAGAGAGACACAGACAGGCTGACAGAGAGACGGACAGGCTGATAGAGAGAGACAGACAGGCTGATAGAGAGACAGACAGGCTGACAGAGAGACAGGCAGGCTGATAGAGAGAGACAGACAGGCTGACAGAGAGACAGCAGGCTGACAGAGAGACAGGCAGGCTGACAGAGAGACAGACAGGCTGACAGAGAGACAGACAGGCTGATAGAGAGAGACAGACAGGCTGACAGAGAGACAGGCAGGCTGACAGAGAGACAGACAGGCTGACAGAGAGACAGCAGGCTGACAGAGAGACAGACAGGCTGACAGAGAGACAGACAGGCTGATAGAGAGAGACAGACAGGCTGACAGAGAGACGGACAGGCTGACAGAGAGACGGACAGGCTGACAGAGAGACGGACAGGCTGACAGAGAGACAGACAGGCTGACAGAGAGACAGACAGGCTGATAGAGAGAGACAGGCAGGCTGACAGAGAGACAGGCAGGCTGACAGAGAGACGGACAGGCTGACAGAGAGACAGGCAGGCTGACAGAGAGACAGGCAGGCTGACAGAGAGACACAGACAGGCTGACAGAGAGACGGACAGGCTGACAGAGAGACAGGCAGGCTGATAGAGAGACAGACAGGCTGACAGAGAGACAGACATGCTGACAGAGAGACAGACAGGCTGATAGAGAGAGACAGACAGGCTGACAGAGAGACAGGCAGGCTGAC